TTGAAGATAAACTTTCAAACCTGTAGCCATAGATACCATGTTATGATTTTACACAAAGTAAACTGAAATTATTTTACTTGGGCATACCTAGTATTAAATAGATGTTTCCAGAAGGCTGGGCAAATTCAGTATAAAATCATATCTGGTGGTTTCTTTTCTGAGAAAAAAAAATTTTTCCTGAGTGCTTTCCAAGCGTTAGGAGACAAGGGACCTGATTGCCTGATCTGAAAATTGAATCTACACCATTGGGAGAGTGAATGGTTCAGATTTACCAGATTGTTTGTTTAATAACCAAATAGTGACAACGACTGATTTTTTGGCAGTAACACAAGTGCTGTATATACCCATAACTATATTGAAAGATAATGCTGGAAATATAATGACAGCTGCCCATGTAGTGTTGCTGTATGGACATTTTGTGTCCTGTCAAAACAATATCAGAGTCTGATGTAATACAGACTTCCTGCAAACATCTGCTCTTGGAAGAACACCCCAAAAAGTTTCAAGTGCCCACTTTCTTTCTTGTCCAACTTTCTTTCCTCTTCATTTTAATGTGAAACAGGGCATCATGATTATTGGTGGTTGTCTTCAACATTATGACTAAACCTGTTACTATACAGATCAAGGGAATGTCATGTCAGCATATGAATATGAAAGCCTTTTAGTTGGGTCTCAGTTCTGAAAACCATCCATTTGGAGAATCAGAATTGAGTCTCTTTGGCGTTTGTGTAAAGATGAGTGGATTTAGACCTTAAACATATCTGGAAAAATAATTTGGCTGAAGTTTTCAGTCTGCACTTTCTTTGTGAAGTACTTCTCTCCATTTTTTTTTTTCTTACTACAAGCCTGGTCTTTTCAGTGGTGTGGGAATGTGCATACCAAGGCTGGATTTCATTGGAATTTAGCATACATAGTCTGGACCACATTTTTAGAAGATTTTGGGCCACATGTAGGCACTGACATCAGGGACTAGGCTTGGAAAGAATTTAAACCCATGCGGAGTTCGAGTGCTTCTTGAAGTTGTTCATCTTACTGTTATTTAGGTGTCTGACTCATTACAATTTTTTCTTTGGAAAACCTTGCTTCCGGGTATCTTAAGGGTCACATAATCATCTGTGGTCTCCATGCTTGTTTTACTTGAAGGAAACAGAAATGATAGAGCTGTTTAACAAGTATACAGTGACTGATCTGAAGATAGACTGTTCTAATGGTCATACGAGTATTACATAAAGCATCTATTGCCTGTGAAACAAAAATAAAGCATGAGACTGCCTACTCAGTCAGGTACCTTCTTTTTTTTCTTACATACTAACTTCCTTTTGGCTTCTGCACCATTGCAGGGATGAGCTATGTCTCTCCACTTGCCAGATCAGGTTTTTTCTCTGAAATACATCCTTAAGTGTAATTTGAAATGTTGCTGATGATAGAACTTCCCCTTTCCCTTAAAGAGATGGCACTGTATTTTC